CGCAGCAGCAGCTGCTGGCGGCGGGCAGCGGCGCCTTGCGCGGCGTGCCGGCCACGCACTTCGTGGGCATCGACGGCGTGCGCGCCTTCCTGCACTCCTACTCGCACGACGTGTCTCTCACGGCCGACTCGCGCAAGAGCCACCTCCGCTTCTCGGCCGCCAGCTGCTGCGACACCCTGCCGGCCCGGCCGCCGCCCGACGAGCCCGCGCCGCTGCTCGGAGACCAGGAACCTGCCGGTGCCCAGCAGGCCGACCCCGTCCCTCTCCCGGTGAGTTCATTTTACCTCACTTTCCTTCCTTTCCTTTCTTAATAGTTCGCATTTATTTCCTCTTTTGTGTGTCATTCTTCGTGCACGAAGATATGACGAGACACAGACCGGTACACGGAGACTCCTGTGCTCTTGCCCCTTGTTCGTACAGGACCTTATTGTTTGTTGCTCGCTGAGGCTGGTGTGGAATGCTGAAGAGGCGAGGGTACTTTGTATCCTGTCCTGTATCTCTAAGTGGGCGTAGCTGTTAAGTTGATACCAATGTAACATGAGGCACATCTACTTCATGCTTTCCGTGATGTTGAACCTTGCAGAGATATGCATTTCCCTTTCCTGAAGAGTTAATGTTATCTGTGTTTTATCTCTGTAACTGACTTTTTGATTACATGTGATTGGCAATTATGAGAGTCTAAGGGTACCATGCAAGTTGTGAGAGGCTGGAGATGTGAGTCGTGGGAGCTGTGCATGAGAGACCCTTGAGAGCCACAGAAGAGAGATTTTTCCAGAAGACATGTTATTCCAGCTGTATTGGGAGCTTTAGGTATTTTGTCCTGTGTCCCTGTAGGTTGCTGTTCTGGTTTGAGTATTGTTGGGGTTTGTTTGTTTGTGTTTGTTTAGTTTTGGTTTTGGTTTTGTGGATTTTAATTGGGGGGGGAGTTTTTGTTTGTTTTTCACTAACAGCATAGTTATGTACTTATGACAAATACCATTATGGAGCCTTTGTGAAGAGATGACAGATTATTCTTCCTCTACTAAATACCCGAATTACTTATCTAGCCTAACTGCCTTTATTAAGAATATATTGCATCACCTCTTTCATTATGCATGTTTTATTCTTGTCTTGTTCGTTGTGATGAGCCAAAGGTGAGGAATTTTCTCTGATGGTGTGTGGAAGATCACATGCATTCCATTTGCCCAACTGTCCAGTAAGTGCCTTTCATGTTTACAACTGTCAAGAGAAAGACTTTCAGACACTTTTTTCCTTAAAATGTCAGTGCAGAAATGTTCTTGCTCGTCACATAGACATGGTGAAAAGTCAAATATTGTCCAAGGTAAGGAGAAGTGGTCTGTGCAACTTTTCTTTTGATAGAGTTTACCTGCAGGTGATGAAGATTAATGCAATCTGTCACGGGTTTGAGGAGTGTCTCGGGGGTCCTGTGTGTGAGGAGGTGCTGGTGGAGACAAGTGCAAGTGTTTTGTTACTGCCCTACAAACATGAGTCAGAAGGTGTCTTTTTTTGTTGTTACACTACTCAGATTTTGACAGGCCTAGTTGTGTGTTCATCAGGTTGCTTTCCTGTTGCATGATGATTCCTATGAATGGTGGTTATTAGGCATAAATGTAACCTTTGCATTAGTTTGGTAGTGTAATGTATTTTCTGGGTTGCCCTTGTGCTGGAGAAGGATGTTGCTGTCTTTCAGCTGACACTTTAATGACCAGGACCATACCTGAGCTCTATATTCCTTATGGCCTTTAGACCTTTTTATGTTTCTTCAAATTATATGAAGAATGAACCTGTGCTGTGGTCTTTGGGCTCTGCAAAGGTGTATGCATCACATTTCTTTCATTGATGTCTCTGTGCAAACATAGCTCTTTGTTGTATGATATTTGGGCAAGGTGAAGAGTTCAGACTGCACAGAGAAAGGGCAGGTGCAAGAGTTCACTGTGGTATAGTTTGAAATGGCTAAAAGGAGGGTCTCAAAGCTCAGTTTTCCCCAGTTTTTAGATGAGGCCCACAGATGTGCTTTCATGCATTTCCTTTTTTTTTTTTAAATTTGTTTATTTTTTTTTTAATTATCCGAAGGAATTCCTTTGAGGAACTATGGCTGTAGTCAGTGGTGTGAGCTCCTATGTGAGCCTTGTGTGTACTTATTAGCAAGTAGTTACTTTTTCTGTGTATTTATTACAATTGACTCAATCTGAAATGTTAAGATGTGATTTTTACACTTTTGCAGGTTTCCCATGGTTGTCTTGTTTCTTTGTTCACTTCTAAAGTTGGGCTTCTTTGTATGGTAGTTCTGAAAGCATTAATATAGTAAAAGACTGACAGATTATCAGGCTGGTGAAGTGGTTTCTATCCACAAATTGAAGACTGACAGCTGCCAAGATGTGATGGGTTAACCTTGGAGAGCTGCCAGGTGCCCACCAAGCTGCTGGACAATGGAGAGAAAATATATGGAAAGGCTCATGGACCCAGATAAGGATGGGGGGATCACTCAGCAGTTACTGTCATGGGCAAAATGGCCTCAAATTGGGGAAATTAATTTAATCTATTGCCAGTTAAAAGTCAGAGCTGAACAATGAGAAACAACAAAATTAGTTCAATTTATTATCAATCAAATCAGAATAGGATAATGAGAAATAAAACCAAATCTTAAAAACACCTCTCGTCCATTCTTCTCTTCTCTATGGGCTCAACTTCTCTCCCAATTTCCTACCTTCTCCCCTCAGGAGGTTCAGGGGTGCTGGAAATGGGGTTGGGGTCAGTTCATCATGACCACTCCTTCCTCCTCATGCTCTTCCCCTGCTCCAACACAAGGTCCTACCAGTGTGGACAGTCCCTTATTAAATTCTCTCTCTGAATCCTTTCCACACGTTGCAGATCTACATAAACTGCTCCAAAAGGGGTCTTTTTCCACAGGGTGTAGTCCTTTAAGAATGGACTGCTCCAGGATGGGTGACCTGCAGGGGTCACAGGTCCTGTCAGCAGACCTGCTGCTGCACGGGCTCCTCTCCACAGGGACACATGTTCTTCCAAAAACCTTCTGCAACGTGACCTCTCCACAGGGACACAGCCTTCTTCAGGGCACATCCACCTGCTTCAGTGTGAGGTCCTTCCCAGGAAGCAGGTGGGGATCTGCTCCACCACAGACCTCCATGTGCTGCGGGGAGACAACCTGCCTCAGCATGGACTTCATCAGGGGCTGCAGGGGAATGTCTGCTCTGGCACCTGGAGCACCTCCTCCTTCACTGACCTTGGTGTTTGCAGAGCTGTTTCTCTTGCATATTCTCACTCATCTCTCCTGGTTACCTTTGTGCAGCAGGTCTCAAACCTTCTTAAATATGTCACCACAGAGGCACTATCACCAGGGCTGACTGGTTCAGTGGTGGGTCCATCTTGGAGCCAGACAAAACTGGCTCTGTCATACACAGGGTTACCTTCTGGCATCTTCTCACCGCAACCATCCTTGTAGTTCCCCTGCCACTCAAACCCAATACACAAGACAAAGACTTTGATGCACTTCTGCTCCCATAAAATGGCACTGAATTAAAAGAACATGTGGCTGATATGTGAGGAATAGTTGGATATTGTCCATCTGAAGGCTGTGAATGCAGATCAGGAAGGGTTACAGACTGACTTGGAACCAGGAAAACAGGTGAGTCAATGTGATTTTGGCTGGGCAACTATTTGATTTTATGTCTGGTAGCAAGGCCTGTGCATTCATGCTGTGATCCTGTTTTCCCCGTCCTGAAAGGCAATGGCAGGTCTCCAACAAGGAGGTGAACTGTGTATGTAGAATGGTGATGGTCTTCTTGCTTGCAGAGGACTCTTTCAGTGGGGACACCTGTGGGAAGGGGAGCCCCAGCACCAGCACAGAATAGCCACTCGTGGACACTGTTTTGCCACATGACTATAAACCTGTGCTCGTTCTCGATTGTCTTGGAGCCTTTCTGAGATTCTGTCCACTTTCCTTTGGGTTTCTCTGGGTGGTGTGGATGGAAAGTGCTGATCTATGTCTCCATAAAGGAATGAAAGCAGGAAGAGTATAAAACCCTATTCATCCAGAGCAGGAATTGAGGCACAGCACTAGCTTTTTCATCCTACATTTAGGCTGACTGGAGAGTTTCAGGTGATTCAGCTGCTGCAAGGAAAAATGGCAAAGCTAGGTACTGTGAACCTAAACAATTTTGATTTGCAGTGAGATTTTTTTCCTTTGTAAATACTTTCCCTGATTGGGGTGCACTTGGCCCTGGTTGATAGCATTGAAGAGAGAGCTGTTGGTTATTGTTGTTTTGATAATGGAAGTCCTGAAGGAAACACGTGTGTGTGATTCCATGAATTGAGAAATTAAGGTTTGTTCTACATAAAGAATAGGTCTTTCCTCCCAGCTTTTGGAGGAAGACTGCTGCAGAAATGTTAGCATTAGTAGGATGGATTCATTTGCTCCAGGCATGATTCCTCTGGGTTCTTGCTGCAGCTATTTCTCATTGTTTATTTCATATTTAATGACAGTATTTTTGCCATTCCTCTTCTATCTCCTATTTACAAGTGAAGGTCTAGGGAGATGTCAATGTATATCTGAGGGTAGAAACCCTGCAGGGCTGTAATTATGGAGTCCCAAATACTGGATTTCATCCATACATACTTTCAAGGTTTGCAGTTGCCAAAACAAATACTTTGATATAGTTCTGTTTCCATAAGACATCACCAAATGAAATGCTTTTTCATCTGTGGCCAATACATGACCAATAGCTGGATTTGTCCGTGGTGCAACTAAAGGCTGTAAATGCAGAGCAAGGAGGGTGAGAGGCTGACTTTGAACCAGGAAATCAGGTGGGTCAATGTGGTTTTGGCTGAGCAATGGTTTGATTTCGTGCTTGATGCCAAGGCCTGTGCCTTTTTTTTTTTTCTGATCTTGGTTTCCCTATCCTGAAACACAACAGCAGTCCTCTGATAATAGAGCATTTGTACAATAACTCTGCATCCAGAAGGATGATTTATGGGTAGCACAGCTGATGATTCCTGTGGGAAACCACCTTTGTTCATATTATATATACCTGTAATGTTGTAAAGTAGAATTTCTTCACAGTTGTAGTAACACTCTTTCAGGCCTTCATTTCCTGGAAGGTTTGTTCCCCCCATTTCTGGAAAGTGTGTTTGCATTTGAATTTGTGAGTTGTTTTGTAGCAAATGTTTACTGTAGCCACCTAAAACTTTCTGTGTGAGAAGAAAAAAAGAAGAAACAGAAGGTAAAACAGAATCTGTCCTACCTTCTCAGAACACATGGTTTGAGAAACAGGCCAACTATAAATCCTTTAAACATGCAGCTTCAGTTCTGTGGGAGATGAACAGGCT